GCACCTGTGCGGACCTGGAGTTGCAGAGAAGCTGCAGGGGCAGCGGAAGGCTGGAGGCGAAGGGGAAGCGACCAGTCCTGTGAGGGGGGCTAGAACCGTCTGCCCCTTGCCACCGCAGTCTGCCTGAGCGAGAGGACCTGCAGATGAGCGGGTCGGGGTTTGGAGATGTGGACCCCGTGCAGCGAGGAGCTTGGCCTCTGCGCCTGGGTGACCACAGGGTGAGGAGGTCATGTGATGTCACAACAGCACCTCATTCTGGCGTATTACTCAGATTATCTAGAGCTCAGACATAGAGCAATGAACAGGTTCCTAGGGCGCCTGCCCCAGGGGTTGAAGGCTGGGGCTGGCCCAGATGGACCAGGCACAGGGAGGCTGCGGGGGCGCAGGACTGTCTGAACACCACGTCAGGGACCTCCCCAGGTCGTGTCAGGACCGGCCAGCCCAGACCAGCAGCGACTGGAGGAACGCCATTGCCATCCCAGCAACATGGAACAGGGCGGGGAGGAGGTGTCCCGGGTCCTGTGGGGCTGGGGATGACCCTGTGGCAGACTTCCTGTGGCATGGTCTTGCTGGCACTCCAGGGAGGGGCGGGCCAGGCGCTGAGGTGTGCTCATGCTGGAACGTTCCCGCGGGCAGGTTGACCTCTGCCAGTCTTATCTGGCAGCTAAAAGTGTAGGGGTGGCCAAAGGATCACCTAGTGAGGGGAGAAGTCAATCAAGGGCTGTTTGATGTGCCATGTAGCTGAAGGACACCTGTCTTCAGCTCACTGGGTCTGAGGGCACGAGGGAGGCCAGCTCCCTCTGCAGACCCCCCCATCTGCGCCAGCGTCCATTCTAGCTCACCAGTGTCCATTCTCCCTCTCCCCTCCCACTTCTTCCTCTTGCCTCCCCATCCTCCTCCTCTCCCTCTCACTTCCTCCTTTTTTTTCTTCTTCTCTTTCTCCTCTCCAGCAAGTGAGTGCCAGCATCTAGCAGCTATATTCAGAGACACCACCCCCCCTTTCAGGGGAGAAACCCTTTCCTGCTGCCCCTTGCTGACTAGACAACCCCCTCCTTCCCCCACCCCTCCCCCTTCCCCCAGCAACACTTCGCCTTTCAGAGGCAAACACAGTGTTCCCTGCTGGTTGCCTGAGGCTCTGGGACGCTGAGGGCACCCCCTTAGGGAAGACCTGCACCCTGAGATGGGAGGTGCTTCTCCTTCACCACCTGCCCACAGATTGCAGCCGAGGTAGAAAGGCAGGAAAAGTTGAGGCCTCTCTGTCCTGGGCCTCCCAGACCTGGCCCTGGGACACAGTCCACGGAGTCCCTGACGCTCAGGTGTGGTGAGCTCTGATTTATTCCCCGGCTACACTGTTTTGAAAACAGACCCCAGGCCTCAACCGTCCTTTTATCTTCCCAGCCCAGGCAGGGGCGAGGCGCTGAGGCCTCTCTCTGGCAGCTCTTCTCCGGAGTGGGTGCCGCCTCCCGCAGAACCTGCCCCGCCCCGGAAGCCGTGTCCCTCCCCCTCGAGAAGCCCAGTGCTGTAGGGTGTTTGAAAGGTTAGCGGATGAGCGTGGAGGAGGGTTCTGAAAGGCTTTACTTTAGATCTTAGCCAAAAGGCCGAGAAGCGAAAGACTTTAGGTGGAGGAAGGCTGGCTGGCTGCTGCTTAGGGGAACGCAGAGCCCAGGCTTCCAGGGGGTCTGCGCTGTTGACGGCTATTGCCTGGCTGTTTATGCCTCTGCAAGACCAGTGTTGTTCGGAGGACCTGAAAGCTGACTTAATGGAGGGAGGGTGGAGGTGCAGATGTTTCCTGTCTGACGGGTGATGCAAATTGTTCCAGTGCGCGACCATGCAAATGACTTTTCAGTGGAGAAGGAATCTCCTGAAGTTCACTTCTCACTTGGAATAGCTGTAGAGCCTCCCCGGTTCCCCCCTTGTTGATGAGTAATGTTAACAGGTGCTTTTTTACCTGTATGAATCATGACTTGACCATTTCAAAATTTGTCCTCTAGGGGTGGGTTAAGGAAGACCTTTAACAGAGGTAGTAATGCAAACTGCTTGAGGCGCATTTACTCTGTGCCGGGTACTATGCCAAGGGTTTTAGAGATGCTGACTTATTTAATCCTCATGGTAACCCGTAAGCCCCATTTGACGGATGTGGAAACTGAGAGGCAGGAGCCTAGTAACTGGCCTAGGGACTTGGAGCAAGTCAGTGGTCTACGCTGACCCATGTTCCCAGAGGCCCGGAGCGTGGCATAAAGACTCCCACGGGTTAGGCCTTCCAAAAGAGGAGACATGAATGGGGGTTGGCACAGAGGAGGTTTCCAGGGGCAAGTTACCCTGTAGAAAGGTCTGAGAGTGAGAAATTCAGTTGGGCCAGAGAGTAGGGTGTGGACTGCAAAGTGGCCAGAGATAAGACTGAAGGAAGCCTACGGATTAAGAAGCCATGGTCAGGCTAAGGAGTTCGGACTTTGTCCTTTAACTCCAGACTTTCTAAGCTTCGGAGTAATATGATTAGATGAGTTTTATTATTTTTATCTTTATTATTTTCTTTGAAGTTATAAAAGCAACCGGGAGAGTCGGCCTTTTTAGAAGGATCACTTAGGCAGTGGTGTTAGGACCGGCTGGAGGTGAAGAGAATAAAGGTCAAGAGGCTACTGGAAACCAAAGCCCAGTGCCCGGGAAAAGAGGGGGTGGGAAGAACAGCAGAGCAGGTGAATCTACCTCTGGGCGACTGAAGAGGCAGGCAGCGAGGGTGGGGGCTGGGCTCTGGGAGAGGAGCTCAGCAGCCCTCCAGCAGGCCTGCTTCCTTAAAGCCCTGACACACCTGTGCCTGCTCATGCTTAGCATCTGAGAAGCAAAGACAGTACTTAGGATTTAAAAGGAAAATGTCACTTATCAGAAAGTGTCTGCGGCTCCCATTCCGAAAAGCATCTATAAACCGGGTCTGACGCCAAGAACCGGGGCCTGAAGGTGGGGAAAGAGGAGGAAAAAAAAAAGCAGTGGAGAAAAAAGAAGAGGGAAACCATGCAGCCAGCCACCTTGTAGCAGCCCGCCCGCACAGATTGTCAGCACACCAGGTGATTCGCAACCCCGCCCAGCCTGCCTCCTGGCTCCTCTGTGGCCACCAGCCACTTCCTCTTGGGGCTTGGCCAAAGGGAGCTCAGGAAATGCAAACTTTTATTTCTGGAATCAGTGTCACACACGAGGAAAGGAAACCCCCTAGTGAAAAGTCACATCTGAAATTCCAAAGCCAAGGAGGAGGACTGGAATCTTGATTGTTGAGGTCAGGGCCATCTCGTGCAGGGCCAGCGTGCACCGTCACTGCTCACCCTTTAAGGGGATCCAGGATCTGGCCTCTTCCCTCCTTGTGTTTCCAGACTTCCGTCCACTTAGCTTGGCCACAGAGGGGTCTGCAGTCTGGCGTGGTGCTCAGCTGATAGCAGGGAGTGACCGTGGGGGTAGAGGCCAGCGGAAGGACGCTTCTCATTCTACCCGCCTGTCCATGGTCTGGGTGAATCAGTGGTGGCACGTACCTGAAAGCATTTGTCCGTGGATGAAGCCTGCCGATGCTCCCTGTTGCTGTCTCTTGCTGTGGCCCCCGAGCCACAAGAGACACTGGTGGGGCCAGTCAAGCAGATGAGGATTCTGGTTTTCAGACTACTAAGCACCCAACAGTATGCTGTGTGCTCTCACACTTAATCTTCACAATAACTTTATCAGAGCTCAGAGAAATGAACTTGCTCAAGCACATGGTTGTTCGTTTGTTTGTTCTGTATGGGTCGCTCAAGGTGGGGTAGAGGTGTCTCCGTGTGCTGTCCCGTCACAGCCCTTAGGGCATGGCCCTCCCCACCAGACTACAAGCTGAGCGTGTCCAGAAGGTGTTGTAGTCCCTTATCCAGCAAGTATTCAGGCATGAAAACGTGCTCTCAAAAATACTCTTTGGATTGAGTGAAAGAACACAGGCCTTATATCCACTGCTGTATTCACTTTCTTCCCCTACAAAAAGTTCGAGGTGTGGGAAGACACACTATGTGTTATTCATGGGTAGAGTTCAGCCTGGAACATCATTTGGTGACAGTAAGGAGCCCGGTGGTAAAAGAACAAATGATATCTGAGTGAACAAATTCTACTGTTTTGATGACATCAGTATATTTGTTTCTGATGCTGATTTCTTGGTCTCATGATGTTATACTGTGACTTGAGGAGGTGCTGAGTGCTCAGCCTCCTGAATTAAAGGCTTGTCTGCCGCTGAATGATGACCAGAAGAGGCGCTGCAGAAATACTGCACCCCCCCCCCCCCCCCCCCAGATTGTAAGGGCAGGAGGCACAGATGGCCCCTGGCTTCCACACACCACAGCTTTGGTCCGGCAACAGACCATTGTGCTTGTGGCTGCCATGTCTATTTACTTCCCTTTCACCAGATGCAAGTACTAATCATCAGCTTCATTTTTAAAAAAAGATTTATTTATTTATTCATATAGAGTTGGGGTACAGGCCAGAGATGCGGAGGGTGAGAGGATTCACCAGGGACAGAGTGGGGAGCAGAACAGGCAGATCAATGAAGTACACTGCTGAGGGAGCAGCGGGCGGGTCAGGAGAGGTCTGCCTTGCGCCATGTGGATCTCCTCCCGGGCAGGCGGGGATAGAACTCATGCTGACATGGCTTAAGCTTCTCAGTGTTGTGCTTTAACCAGCTGCGCCACCAGGGAAGGCCCCATCAGATTTATTTTTAAAGGTGGTATGTGTTTCTTGCTAGAACTCTTTTTCGATCAAATGTAGTCTGTTCCTTCTGTAAATCATAGCATTTAATGCATTAAATGTTTTGTTTTAGTATAAAAGCAATCATTTAAAATATGGAAAATTTGGAATATTGAAAACAGAAAAATATCAATTTGAGTTTTATCATGCTCACAAAGTGAAAAACCTGTTCTTGTTTGTTTTTAAAGATTTTTTTTTATTTATACATACATGAATTGGCATGTAGGCCAGCGGTGTGGGGTGTGAGAGGATTCACCAGAGACAGAGTGGGGAGCAGAACAGGCAGATGGACTAAAATAAAAGATGGACTGCTGAGGGGAACAGTGGGCAGGTCAGCAGAGTTCTGCTGCACCCTGTGGGTCTCCTTTCTGGCCAGGAAACTCACGCCCCAGTGACTGGCCATAGTTTTGATAGTGCTGAGACTTTGACCCTTGTGCCACCAGGGAGGCCTGTGACAGGCCTGTTTTTAAGTGTCTTTTTCCCTGTGCATATCGGTCTGTATATGTTGTGTGAAGGGTATATGTATACACACACACACAGAGTTGTTTCCCTACAGAGAGAGCTGTCGTGATAGTTGGTGTGCAGCTTTTTCATTTAACATTGTGTCACGTTTATAGCATAAGGACTTCAGACCCCCCTAAAGTAGTTATTGATTCACGTTTTAAGATTTTTCAAGAAACTGATCAATTCAAAGAGACACAACTTTCTTATATGAATTTTAAATCTGGAATTCTCAAAACAGGTGAACTCACGGTACTCAACACATACCTTAAATCACATCACTGATGTGGGGAAGAATAAAAACCTATCAGTCTTTCAATTTGCACTGTTAGGGACAGGGAGCAAATACATGCCACTCCAGGTCATGTCTTTGGCAAAAAGTTTTACTTCAGGGAGGGCTCCGGAGGCTGGGTGGAAGTTGCTTTTGAAGTTTACATCTAAACTCCTCGCTGCCTTTCTGGATTTGTAGGGCAGCAAGTGGGAAAGCTGAGCCGTCAGCACCGAAAGCTAGGCCCCCCGGAGGCCGAGCAGGCTGACCGCTGGTGGCAAAGATGCGGAGGTGACCCCCAAGGCCAAAACACTTAAGCAGCGGAAACCCTGTCGGGGCAGAGCGATTGCAGATACTCCTGCTCTGCTGTTTTCCAGAGAGGCCGTGCACCAGAGGAAGTATCCGGCCACAAATCCAGAATTAAAAGGAAAAGGCTCTTGCAACTGTCACGAAACTGCTTCGGGGGGACAATCATGGTGATACTTGGTTAAAGTTCACAGAACACCTAAACACTCTCGCACTGAAGATGTGCCTCAAGGGCTGTTCAGCCCTAGCAGAAACCCTCAGTCGGTATGTGAGGAAACTGCGGCTATAGTTACACCTGCGTGAAAGAGGGTTGGGGGAGAAGCATGGAACAGACACCTTTTCCCCTGCCCCCTCTTGTATGTACCCATGCAGCTGGGAAGGAGTAAGGTAGCTATATCAAATGTAATGGAACAGGGGGCCTCCCTGGTGGTACAAGAGGTTAAGTCTCAGTACTGTGAAGCTGTTTGGCCACTGCAGCCGGATCCCCAGCCAGGGAGGGGACCCACAGGGCTCAGCAGACCTCTCCTCAGCAGTGTGTTTCAGTGGACCCACCTGTTCTGCTCCCCACTCTGGCTCTGGTGATTCCTCTCACCCCCTGCATCTCTGGCCTGTGCCCCAGCTATATATGCATGAGTAAAGAAATCTTAAAAACAAAAACAAAAAAAGTGTGGTGGAACAAAGGGGAAAGGCGACATAGTAGGGGATATCTGGAGGAGAAACATGTAGAAAAGAGATGCTTGGAAGGGACCTGTGGGTGAGACACACCTGTACCTCGGCAGACAGTGGCAGCCATTGTCTTGACGTGGTCTGTTTGATTTTGAGTCTCTCCTCCTGTCCCAGCTCTCTGGGACCTGCCTTGCCCCTTCTCATGGCTCCTTACCAGAAGATATCACAGACTCGAGACAACCTTTAGGGCTTTTCTGGCCTGACCTTTGGCACCTGCCCACGAGGGGACGGGTGAATTGTTTTATTTGGTACAGCCTATCTTCTCTCTCTATGCACACGAATTCTATTGAAAACTCTGTTTCCTTTGTGTATGCAAATGGTCGCATTCCCTTTAAAGCTTTCACCTCTTAATAGTCTGGGGTCCCTGGGTACCCCTTGGCCACATGCTAACAGAACTAATGACCCTTGGGGCCATTCTGATCATCCTCACTGGCACCAGAGGGCGACTCCTGAAGCAGCAGGGTTTGCTCCTCAGGACGGCCCTGCCCTTCAGCCAGTTCCTCTGCACAATCTGACATTCTCAGCTCCACCAAAATTGGTATCAGTGATTTGAAAATCCCCAAACATCTCACTGATGCTTGCTTCAAGGAGCAGCAGCTGTGCAAGCTCCGACACTAGGAAGGTGAGGTCTCTGACACATGAGATTACAGCAAGGTAGACCAGCAAGCCATGGACCTGCAAATTCTGCCAAAAATCAAAGCTGTCCTCAGCTTTAGGTCTACGTCTGCTCCGTGTTTGCACGTACAGGTGGAATTCACCCTCACAAACTGATGTTCTAAATTTCTTGTAAAGAATCTAATTAGGGTGGTGGTACAGGGATTCAGCCCATGAAGCTGTCCACAGCCACTGTAGCAGGAGTTCGACCCCTGGCCAGGGAGCTGACCCACAGGGCCCAGCAGACCTCTCCTGTCTCACCTCTGCTCCCCTCAGCGGTGTATTTCAGTGGATCTGCCTGTTCTGCACTCCACTGTCTCTGGTGAATTCTCTTACTCCCTCTTCCTCTGCACCTCTGGCCTACACTGCAGCTCTTACATGCATAAAAAAATCTTTAAATGACCCATTAAAAAAAATGTAGTTCTCTATAAAGGTCTATTCCAGGAAGACCTAAATCTCATCTCTTTTCCATGGAGGAAAAAGGTATCTTTGTTTTCCCCAGTAGACACACTAATGAAGTCCCTTTTCTTTCAACCTCTTGTCTTTGCGCTGTAAGATGTGTCTGAAACCCAGTGAGCTACTTCGTCTATGTTGCCGGGTCTCCCCTATATACACAGGAAGTACACATACTATTATTAAACCTTTCTATGACTTTTACTCAATCTGCCTGATATTTGCCAGAGGGGTATGAGGTGATTTTCTTTGCACACTGACAGTTGGTTACGAGTGGTATTTCTGTCGAATCATCATAACTATTGAGTAAAAAAGTAGTTGCTACTAGTAGAAGATCTGTTTCCTGTAGAACGTTGAGATTCAAGTCCATTTTACTCAAGGAGGTAAACATAAATCCACCAATCTTTGTGAATTATTAGTTTTGTCTATCACCAAAGATAGACAAAAGGGAGGATCTGGTCAAAAGGAGAATTTGGTCATTTAGCTAATAAACTATTGTCTCCTTCTGGACAAGTCAATGTAAAAGTCAACAGAAAAGCAAGCCAGGCAGTGCTGCTCAGCTGAAAAAAAAGATAACCTGCACATGTAAGCGCTGCTCTTCCAATCAATCATTTGAATGATTTTGCCACTATGGTCCAGACTGAATAAAGAGTGACTGAATCTAACCCTAAAGGCAGGGGCCTCCCTGGTGCAGGCTGCGGTTCGATCCCTGGCGGGGTGTAGACTAGAGGCACACGTGGGGTAAGAGGATTCAAGAGACAAAATGGGGAGCAGTTGGTGAGACAGGAGAGGCCTGCTGTGCCATGTGGGTTAGCTCCCTGGCCCGGGGTCGAACTCATGCTGCAGTAATTGGCGGAAGCTTGATAGCATTGTCTTTAACTCCTGCACCACCAGGGAGGTCCATAAATAAATAAACCTAAAACAACCAACCCTAAAGCCAGAAGACATTTCAGGAGTTGTATACTTGAAACTCCCTTAGATGCTTCTAAAACTCTGGAGCAACTTGGTTTATTGTGCACATTTGGACAAGCCCAGCAAACATGGGTCCTCACGTCAGTCAAGTACTTAAGTTCTCAATAGTGACACCAGTCTGTCATTAACCTCTTTCTTCATGTCTTTGAGGCAAGTGTCTGACCTCATTATTAAAATAAGCATGTTACAAAGGTGGAAATTTACTTTAACCTTTCCTTATCTTCCCAAGTAAGAGTGGCAAGTGAAATAAATGCTAGATTATTAAATTTATTATAGTTGTGTGCCTCATTTGCCAAATAGGGAAAAACCCAGACACTTGGGTAAATACCCAACTTATCAGTCTGAAACAACACAATAATAAATTGGTTCACACAAAAATGTTAAATGACTTGATAGTTTTTCTCCTTTCTGGAACACAAGCTGAACATGCACACATAGCTATGGTGCAAATGTAAGATGCTAAAGTCAGACAACCCAAGCATCTGGAGGACCATTCCCAATGTGATTAAATCAAGATAGACACCTCTCAATTTTCTATGATTTGTTTTACCTTCATCCTTTTCTGATTCTTGTAGAAATTACTTTATCTTGGCACATTAAATTTTCAGTGGACTTCAGTATAAAACGATAGTATTGTTTAGTTACCATGGTTATGTGCAGTTGCCCAACCTATCAGTTTCTTAATTTTCTAGCTTTGACTAGGGAGCCTGTTTGAAGAGTGTATCCCTGAACAAATTCCAGGACGCTCTGGGTACTGTAAATACCTAAGAGCTGTATCCTTTTTCTCTAGACTTATAGAAAGGGTGGTGCTGAAAGTAAGATAGGGGCTCTATGCATATGCTTCCCCAAAGTAGCCAGTGAAACTGTGACCCTAAACTAAAACTTAGTCACTTCTCACATGGAACCAGGAAACAGACTGGCTGCTTCCAGCACAGCACACAACAGTGCAACACAGAATTAGCTGAGTGACAAGAAAGAAAGGGCACAGAGTAGCCCTGTGTTGGATGATCAGCTGTTATCAAAACTGATGCTGAATAAATTTCTTAAGCATGTCTCTGCAGTGGGGAGATCTGTGAGTTGGACTGAGTGATAAGAAAGGTTGAATTCTGGCTTGGAGCGAACTTTTTAAGATTTATTTATGCTTACAGAACTGGGGTACAGGTCAGAGGTATGGTGTATGAGAGGATCCACTAGAGACAGAGTGGGGAGCAGAACAGGCATATCTACTGAGAGACACTGCTGAGGGGAGCAGCAGGCGGGACATGAGAGGTCTGCTGTGCCATGTGGGTCAGCTCCCTGGCCGAGGATCAAACTCATGCTGCAGTGGCTTCGGATAGCTTCATAATGTGGTACTTTGACCTGTTGCACCACCAGGGAGAGTCCTTTTAAAAAAAAAAAAAAAAAAAGCTTTATTTTTACTTATTTATGCATACAAGAACAGAGAGGTGTAGCAGATGAGAGGGTTCACCAGAGACAAAGTGGGGAGCAAAACAGGCAGATCCACTGAAATACACCGCTGAGGGGAGCAGAGGTGAGACAGGAGAGGTCTGCTGTGCCATGCGGGTCAGCTCCCTGGCCGGGGATTGAACTTATGCCACAGTGGCTGTCAAAAGGTAGATAGTGCTGAGACTTTAACCGCTGTGCCACCAGGGAGGCTCTGAGCATTTTTTTTTTAAAGATTTATTTATTTATACATACAGAACTGGGGTACAGGCCAGTGGCTCAGGGGCGGCGAGGGGCTTCACCAGAGACAGAGTGGGGAGCAGAACAGGCAGATCGACGAAGTACACAGCGGGCGGGTCAGGAAAGGTCTGCCGCGCCATGTGGTCACCTCCGGGGCAGGCAGGAATCGAACTCATGTGGAAGCGGCTTTAGCTTCTCAGTGCTGTGCTTTAACCCGCTGTGCCACCAGGGAGGGCTTGAGCGAGTTTTTAACCTTGTTTCTGAATAATAGCAATTTCAAAACTTAAGTCCATGTCACAACCTCCCATTCAGCTAAACAAGTTCAATGACTGAACAAAAACTAAGTAGGATCTAAAATGTGGATTTAGCTCAACAATTGCAATGGGAGAAAAGTACACTATATAATTTCTTTATGTTAAAAAAAAGTCACATTCCCTTTACTTATATTACCTCCCTTATTGTAATTCTATTTTTATAGAAGGGAAAAGCAAACAGATTATGTTAAGTCTGTGGAATATGGCACAGTCCACACTGACGCTAAGGGTGCCACAGCAGGCTTCTTCCATAGAGCCCCTCCTCCTGCCACAACACTCGGGCACAGAAATGGTAACTGCTCTGGATGTTTTTGTTACAGTGTCCCCGAAGGGTACCCAGGAATCCCAGGCTGCCAAGGGATACATACTCTGAAAGGAACTAGGATATCTTTGTGCATAAAGGCAAAAGCAGACTCTTAGTGTGAAAGATATTTAATAGAATTAACATGCACAGAAGGAGGAAAAGCGAGAACACTCCTAGTAATAGTTTCTCAGTAAAACTCCAAATTACCCATCCCCATGTGGGGCAAATGCCCAAACAGGGTTGGCTTGAAACAGGGCAGGCAAGGCCTGAAGTTTTGTCCCAAGTCTAAAGTACTTTCTTGTAGTGTCCCACAAGAAAGGGGTCAGCAAGCCCGGAGGGCTGGGTAGGAGACACAGCACGGCAACGGCTGCTGCCGCTGTCTCTGCCAAGAGCAGCTTCCCCGTGTGTCTGTCACCTACAGGTGTCTTCCAGGTCCCCTCATGTCTGTCCTCCACGTCTCTCCTGCAAGGCTCCTTCCCAGCAGTACCAGGGTGCAAGTCAAGCTGCAGAAAGGAGAGGGCCCGCCTGCTTCCTGGATTACTGAGCCAGACAGGCTGCTCAGCTCCTGCCCCGGCCCCCAGCAGCTGTCCTAGCCGGAGGCCTGGTTGGTGGCGTTATGGGACTTATAGCCCAAGGCAGCTGCCCGGAAGGAAATGGCACCTCCCTTGCGGAGGTTTATCTAGCGCTTTCAGAGAGGTGGTTTCAACGTTCCCCTCCTATTTGTCTCAAGGAAGAATCATAATAAAATAAGCATATAAACAAATCCCAAAGTACAAAAGCTGAATTATTTCATATCAGCAAAGGACAAACTGAAACTTGATAATGAAAATAAAGACACAGAAATGTTTTCCTCAAGAAAATAAACATTTGAAGAAACATTTCTAAAAAACTGTTTATTTAAAAAAGTCAGCCTCTTACACAAGGTTTTGTACCTATCTACACTTTCATTCTATTAATTACAATATTTTAAAATGTATTGACTATAATTCATTCAATGTCTTATTAGCATTATCTTCCTGCCTCACTTCAAAAAATTAGTTTTAAAAACATTACAATTTTCATTCTGGTCCGTCCTCCCTCCTATCCTTAACTGAACCCATCTCTTTAGTAATTGAAAAGGGTCACAAAAATTTTAGGTATGCATGGAGAATAAGGATATGTCCATAATTCTAACTTAAGGCCTCAGAAAAAAAATAAAAGGAGTTATGTATTAAAACTTAGCAACTTCCCTCCCAATCTTATCCTTATTGGTCATATCCCTCTTTAACTAGCAAACACCAGGGAGAACACACACACACACACACACACACACACACAGACTGAATACCTCACTCATAGCTCTAAGGTAGATGGCAGATAAACCTAGAAACCACTATGAATCAAAGGGCAAAATTCCAGGAAAGCAAACAAACAAAAAAAATCCAACTCTCACAGTTTTACTGAGGATCTAGAAAAACCTTAGCTGAATCCAGCTGCTGTTTGAAATAGCTGTCTACATTTAATTAGGTATGTTGTATTTACTACAGAGGCACAAATATATAGTTTGGCATATTTTAATACAAACTTTAACAGTGAAAAAATAATACTAAGTGATCTATAATCACCCAAGATGTGTCTCTGAAAAGGGGAGCAAAAATAGTAATTTTATGATATCAATTTAATGACATCTAATAAGCATCCCATGAAAAGATACTGGAGATGTGATGATACCTATACTGTGTCTAGAACGGCCAAGAAGTTTCCAAAGTTTTATGATTTCAATTTCCTAAATATATAGCTAGCAGGCCCATGTGCCAGGCAACTATTGACAATGCTAAGAGGCCTTTGGTAGGGGGAGTCTCATAAGCCCCAGTTTTCAGCCAATATTTCTGCTCAGCAATCTTCCAGTGAGAATGCCTACCAATACATTACAAATAACAATGAAGCAAGATTACTTTAAAATTTTAGATTTGCCTCAAAATAAGTTAGCTTTCCTTTTAATGAAACAGTTAACATAGATGAATTCAATAGAATGGTTTAAAAAGTTAAGGCTCCCCTAAAGAGTCTAAAGACTAAACTTAAGGCACATATTATAATCTTCATGACACTGTTAAAAGCTAACATTAACCAAAAAAAAAAAAAAGACTTCCTTCCCTCACTCTTTGCCAACCTGCCAACCACTCCCTCCCTAAGAGGACAATTCATGTTTAATTCAGGCTGCTGGGAAGGAGTGAAACAAAAACCCCACCAATGAACACTTGCTATGATGTCCACACTTGCATTGAGCACCAGTGGTGGGTTGCAGGCCTGCAGAGTGTTTTAGCTCTCTTGGGTCACAAGCTGCTCCATTTACCCGTTGGCCCCTGGTTCAGATTTGATTCTCCTCTTCTTTGGGGCTTCCGTCTATGCTTTTCTGCTCTTGAGATTCTGTTGAATCAATCACTTCCTTTGGTTTGTCAACAATATCTATATTGATCTCCTCCTCTTTATTTTCCTCTCTTTGCTTCTCGGCTTCCTGCTCTCTTGCCAGAAGGTGATAATTGATGCCCATGCCGATGAAGAGGTAAATGCCCGCGACGATAAGGATGATGCCACACGCCCAGTACGTGTACTTGTAGTCGCCATACAGATCATTGAGACGGCCTAAGGGGGTCAAAAAAAAAAACACCAAAAAAGAAAACCCAAAAAACAGTTATGTGGGTACAAGTAAAAATTATAACTTTCCCAAATAAAACTTAAGGGTCCACTCAGGATGTCGACCCAATCTTTCCAGAATGTACAATGACAAATCAGACTGAAAATGGACTGCTATGAGTGATCTAATCTCTTGTTTATGTCACATTTGATTCTGGATAACCTTATGAATGTCATTTCTAGCAACTTGAAAAAAAAATGCTGGCAAATTTGAATTGAGAAAGTTCTAGAGATCATTTGGAATTAATCCTCTCAATATATCTTAGAAAAAAAATGTTGCTAGAGAGAGTTGGAGAGTCTTGGCCAAGCAATAATGCTAATTTCAGGCTCCCACGTCCATGCTATCTCTGAAACCAGCATTTCCCAAAGAACACTTGGTGGCACTCACCTCAGGATAAAAATTTTAAATTGGTTACATAGGCCAGTCTAAGGAAGCACTGCAGTCTCCAAACAGGAGAGAATATTATTATCCCAGTGAAGAAGAGACACATTAAAAGCAAGTAAATGAAATGGGTTGATTTTAAATCCAAGAAGTCTGACTCTGAAATCTGTTCAGAATCACTGTGCTACAAGGATATGCTAATGTTTCCAAAGTCAAATAAATTGAGGAAGCAGCATGGCTTACATTTCTAGCAAAAATTCAAAATGTACATTAATACATTAAAGGCATTGTGTGCTCCTGTTATAAAGGAATGCACTCAACTTGGTGTCTTTAGTCATGAAATTAGCATCTTATCAATTAGTAGCTCAAAGAATAAACTCTAGAAAACCTACTCTATATCTATGAATGACATAATATAAGCAATTAAAATATGATTCCATATGGTTTCCCAACTCTCGTGAGTTTTCACTCTGCAAATACCAGGCACTGACTGATGCAAGTCCTGAGGAATGATGAGCAGTGGAGATGATTCCACAAGTCAGTGGAGAAGAAAATTTTAATCAAATAGTCACACAAACTTGGTGCCACAGAGAAGATTTTTAAGCAGAAAATAGGTGTTTCTCCAGTGAGTGGGGCCAGGAAGGCTTCTCTGCAAGTGCAAGCGAAGAGCCTGACAACAGAAGTTGTCTAGGAGAGAGGGGGTGGGAAGTGGGAAGGGGGTCCAGGCAGAGAACAGGACAAGCAGGGGAGGAGGCACTGCCTGGGGGGGGGGGCAGGGAGCGGGGCTGGGGCAGAGAGAGCAAAGGGCAAGAGGTAGGAACCTGCAGGAGAGCTGGGCCTGGCAGGCAGGCTGCGGCCACCTGAGGGATCTGAGCTTGGGCACCACGGGGAAAGCACTTGGGGCAGCCAGAGTGGGTACAGGTGAGCCAGCCAGAAGGTGACACTAGGAGCTGCCTAGAGAGAAGAGGGGACTGCGGACGGGTGGTAGTTGTGTTGGAGAAAATGGGTAGATTACAAAGAAAGAGGTTTAGGTGGTGAAAACTAGCAGGACTTGGACGCTCACTGGGGAGAGGGTGGGCAGTTTTCAAAAGTCAGCGCGCTGGTTAAGTATCTTCCTGACCGGACGCGCACCATCTCAAAGCACACGTCGTACCTAGAGGAAGTCCACATTATTTCACATAATACAGTTAAAATGTAAGTGGTTTTCTCGTGCAGAAGCCATCAGCTGGAGGGTCACTTGCTGCCGTGTGATGATGACGGGCAAGTCATTTCGCATCGAGCACTTCTATTCCTGCATCTGTAAGGTGGGGGCAGTGGCAGTCCTACCTCATAGACTTGTGAGCTGTGACTGCAGCCCAACACTAGGATGGGGCCTGGCAGCTGTGGTTATTTTAGCTTACCAGGGCCCTTACCTGATAGCTACTGTTGTAATTTAAATTTTGTTACTGAGATAAATGCCACAATTAAGCTCACCCACAGTATTTTACAAGTGGAATGATAATGCGCTTTTATACAACAAACATGTTAGTCTTATGATGAGGACATTTTATTCCCATAAATATTTAAACTTGTAGTAATTTTTCATTCCCTTTTCAACTTGGTGCTTCACGTTAATTCACTTCTATAAGTGTCAGCACTGAGGGCAAGGAAGTGAGGAAGCTTCCCCTCACCATCAAGTAGGGGGCTGAGCTCTACTTCCTGCCACTGTCCTATGAACCTTCTATTCCAGCCTTCTATATTAACTGAACCACAGAAGTAATGAGACATACTGTACCTAACATCGGTGGCCCCAGGAGGACAGGACAGCATTCCACAATGGTCACCAACCCCACAGCGCTGGAGAACCGCTGAGGGCCAACGAGGTCCATCAGTGTTTCAAACAATACCGAGCTGAGCCATCCAAAGGCAAATCCAAAGAATCCAGCATAAACACAGAAATGAAGGTAGGTGGTGGACAAAGGTGCCAGCATATGACACACTCCGTTTGCAATACAAGAGGCGGCGAAGAAGTACTGGACTCGCGGTCTTATCCACCTTGTGTTGGCCACAAGTCCCATAGACGGTCTGGCTACCATGTCAACGAAAGCCAGAATGGAAAGAAGGAAGGCGGCCTTCTCGCTAGGGAAATGTTGACTCTTGCCATAATTACTAAGGAAGACCAAAGGGGCAAACAGTCCAAAAAACATGAGTGTATTTCCAAAGAGGTACAGCAAAAAGCCTCTGTGCTTGAATAAGGAAAAGTCCAGGAATTTATTAATTGTTTGGAAGACTGATCGTTTCTCCACCTTGGGGTTTCCTCCAATTAAATCTGTATTTGCATCACCTAACTCTTTTTTTGCATCCGACTTTCCAGCTTCCTGGAGGGACTGTTTCAACTTCTCCCTCCCCGCGCTGGTCGCCGGGGGCCCTATCGGTCGCATCAACGACCCAGCTACACAGCAGTTTAGCAGCAAGCCCCCAAGGATCAGGAAGCTTCCTCTCCAGCCAAAGATATTAAAGAGAACCTGATTGAGGGGGGCCAGGGTGGAGAGGAACACGGGGCTGCCTGCCATCGCCAGTCCATTCGCCAGTGGCCGTTTTTTGTAGAAATACTTGCCAATCATGGTCAGAGCAGGATTCAAGTTGAAGGCAAGCCCAAGACCTGGGAAGGAGAGGAAAAAAGAAGCAGGGACTGAAGTAAATGTGAGAAACACATTTGCAATTATCTGGCCAAAGAAATTAAAATAATAGGTATAAATAACTGAAAGGAGACAAAAGTCCTCATTAGAGGGCATTGTGCGGTAATGAGAAGTAGGCTCTAAACCACAGCACCTGCGGCTGAATGTCAGCACTGGCGTGGGCCGCAGCTCATGGCAGAGCACCTGACTGCGAATGTCAGCCTTACTGTTGTGTAATGTTTATCCTCCTGAGGCTGTTCCCTAATTTGTAAAATAGGCACACAGTAATGTTCTGAGTAAAGCTTTTAGAACAGTGTCTGGCATGTAGTAAGCACTCAATAAATGTTAGTTGCAGTGTTATTTGTAGACTTGACTACTTGTCAAAAATCACTGGAAGGATTGTTATTAATTATAACCATAACATAACTATAGAAGATCATTAAATAAAGTTACCAAAGAGGAAAGAGTTCTACAATAGAAAATGCAATATAAAATTATACCATCTACAACTGTACCAAAAACTAAAAAATGTGCAACTTATATCAGTCATAACAAGGGTTGGAGAATTAAAGATGCTATAGGTACATACATACACACAGATTTTGGATAAGAATACTGCACTATCAAGATGTCAATACTCTCTAAGTAAATGCATTAAGTGAATGCAGTACCAATGAAAATGTCAGTGTATTTCATTTTGGAGATGAGGTAATTGAGCCTAAAATATACTTGAAGAACAAACGATAAGCGCTTCAAAAACAGTTAAATTTTGGGTGGTGCAGTCGGAGGAATAGGATTAATCACAACAGGAAGATTTTCCTTTCAACACGCACATGAAAATTATAATTGTTTTTACTGAGGTAGTTACTTTAAAATGCCGTGTAAGAATTAGAAACATAGGTTCACACTTTTTCAGAACACCAGATATTTTAAAAACTAATCACTAGAACAGGTAAACACCAAGTGATGAAAGTTAACAGAAAGTTTAGGATCAGACCTGAAATAGCATTTTACTCAATAAACAGTGCTAGAATAAGTAAACATGCAAATAACTTCTAGATGCTTTCCCAGTCCCCAGCTGATTCCCTGTTGATGTGTGTCTCAGTTATTCACAGATCTAAACCAATATACCAGAAGCCGGTCACTCCCCTATTTCTAACCTGATAATGGCTTCCTGTCCTGAATGAATATTCACCCTGGTCCTGACTTCCCTCCCTGCTTTCACTCCAGACTATTCTCACCTAGAGTAATAAGCTCCGGCTTCTGAGTTAGGGCCTCCATTCCCCAGGTTTCCAGAAAGCCAGTTTCTACTGTTACTGAGATGTTTATGTAAGTAATCTCTTCCGTGAGCCCTGGCCCTTACCCGTGTCGACCACCCACTCCTCTCCTGTCAGAATGAGACTTTGTATAACGTTTATTCCTCCTGGTACTTTTCCTATTTATTCATTTGTTTATGATAAGTACTCTGTCTCCTCTTATCCCACAATACCTATTACAGTATCTAATATACATATGGTTGCTGCCCAACAAGTATTTGAGCAAATGAATAAGCTATTTCTAAGAATAATATGCTAGACAGGAACAAAAAAGACTGAGTTCTGAATACCTGAAAATAACAGATACTTAATGGGCAAAAGGACTAAATTTAAAAGTTTCTTCAAACAAAATTCAACAGCAAAAAATTGAGAACAGATGCTTATATAATTTATGTTCACAGCAGCATATTCACAATACCTCGAAGGTGGAGCCACTCAGGTGTCCACAGAATTGACAAATGAAATATATTACATGCACACACCGAGGAATATTATTCCACCTTAAAAAGAAACAACATTATGGCCCTCCCTGGTGGCGCAGCGGGTTAAAGCACAGCACTGAGAATCTGAAGCCACTTCC